AAAAAATGTATTCAAAGAATTTGCTTTACATTGTAATGTTCAACTTGTATGAGCAAATTTTAACTTGGAAATTCATTAGTTGTTTGAGCCATGCCCTCAAAATTCTATTTAGTCTATTTATGATTTCCTTTCGACAAAAGACAAGAAAAGAAAGAAAGAAAAGCCACAAGTACACTACTCAGGAATCTGGGAATGCCTTTATGATGGACTCATAGGCAGGTGGGGGTGGTGTGGACAGGCCAACTCGAAGACTGTTACTGGACCAGTGGAAATCAGGACGGTTCAGACTGTGGGAAGTGTTGATCCTGGGAGACGTGTTGGAAGAGGGCAGAGTCACCAGGTGACTTTCAGTTTCCACAGGAAGTGGTGGGCATTGCAGAAAGGGATGGAAAGTAGAAGCCCTGAAGCTTAATTTTCTTGGAAAGGAATTTGCTTGTTCCAGGGAAGCTTGTCGCTGGAAAGTGAGACTGGCCAGGCTGAGGTTGCTTCGGCGTTCACAGCCACTGTGGCGGTAAAACCCAGTTCTATTGAGGCCGTGACTGTAAGAAGACCTAGATCTCCTGCTGGAACTCCATTGTGAGATGGGAGCACTGGCTCTTCTTCGAGACAGACAAATGAACAGAGCCCAAATAAATCCTCCAATTACTAGCCCAATTGCCATGGATACGGTGAAGGATATTATAAGGTCCTCTGAAACAAAGAAAACAAATTGCTGAATCAATTTTAAGTAGATATTCAACTCAAAACAAGGGGCAGAGTATAAACTGTAATTCAGGCAATGCATGATTAATTTAAACATACTTTGAATTAGGGAAATAGAAGATGGTGGTAGATAGATATGAACAAATGGAAGAGGCTAATGTTTCCATTTATTCAAGCAGAAAGACACAAAATAACACCTTCAGCTGCAGTGTTCCGGGTTGGTTATGTTATTTTATCATCTTTAAGAAATAAGAAATAGAAAGTCTCACTGAGGCCATATTTAAGCTCATAAATTGTTTATAGAGTTGAAAATGTAGTCCAAAGATTAATTCCTTTTGAGTCATAGTAGTAACTAATGTGCCAAGTTGATAAAGAATTTCGTCATGACTTTGACTTTGCCTTTTCCTCTGCAGACTTTCATCAGTCACATTGATTTCTACCACCTGCAGTCTTCATGATGCCTCACTTCCTGTGCTCATTCTGAGTCAGGAAGTGCTGGGATAAAACCATCTGGCAAGCTGACTGATTTATGTCATATTTCCTAAACTCTCAGACAGTCACCTATATCTCTGACTCCTTGATAACATGACCTGTGCGGAACACTGGGCTCTTTATTGTTCCCCAAGTTCCAGCTCATGCTGTTATCATGCCCTCGTTGTGACCATGAAATTCCTCTCCCTTGAACCAGCACAGAATCTCTGCTACATACCTGTATCCTCTAATTCACAGAATTTATATTTGTTCAGATTTCCTATTCTGGGGCGGAGAGGGAATATCTTCCCAAAATGTAAATGCTACTTTACTACCTCTTCTGAACTAAAAACATATTCTCAAATGACACCAGGTAGCTGAGCCCCCGCCTTGGATGGACAAACAACTCTGGATATTAGAAGATCCCTCCAGCCTCACTGTCCCCCACATTTCCCCGTTCACTGCCCTCTGACCTAACCTCCAAGCCATGTTGATTTTCTCACTGTCCTAAAGCTTGTCATTCTCTCTAAAACTCTGTGCCTTTCTACATATTTTTCCTTATATCTAGATTCATTTTTTTAACCATCTTCTGTCTGGAAAACTCATTCTTCAAAATCTACTTCAAGTATCACATCTTCAATAAACACTCCTACATTTCCTAGACAAAAATGAGTTACTGTTAAGTAGAAAGGCAC